GAGGTTTTCAAATGCCTCGCGCTCTTATTTTTCGTTTGCATTGGTAATAACAATATTAAAAAAATGAGCGTGTGGTATTTGAAAACCTTCGGCGGTCAGAAATGACAAAATAAAATCGAAAGCGTTAGCGTTTTCCAAAGCATTTCCGTTAGGCGAATGGCACCCAGGAAGCTTACTCACCGACAACAACGCGACACCACTAAAAGATGTGTTATTTCACTGTGGTTTTGTGGTGATAGTTACTTCCCCAAACGGGCACTCCAATTCGAGCGGGAAATCCGTTATGCCCTACCTTGTACCTATAATATATTTATCACTAGCGGCCGCTTGCGACTTCGTACGCGTGGAGTTAGTTATTTGCACATACTTTTTGACCCCAAAAGGATTAACTGCTCGTTCCCCGTAGGTAATAGCGTGATTATATATAGCCTATATGTTGACCCGTCTTTTTAATAATATTCATGCCAAAGGACATTGGGCAAAAATGTATGGACTCTGTACCCACGTCCGCCACGGGTTAAACTACATTTGTTTGAAAGGTATTAAAGTCATCATCATATTATTATGTGACAAAGCGCATCCAATGTTATCCCGGGGGTCTTTAGTTATTTTTGGTTAAATTAGTACAAGTTAATAAATATGTACCTATAACGAACGAACATTAATAAAATAAGGGAATTAATGTCGTTAGTTCGACTACATAGAGGGCTCAGGTATTATGGGAGTACTCCACAAGGTGCAAGAGTGCCCCCTTGTGTCATTCTGCCGCGTTAGAGTAAATCCAAAAACCCGCATGGGTTGGGGTTTTTTCAAACAGTCTGTTCGTAATAGTAAATTCTCTTTTATATAAAATGGAGCGACCACAAATCACACAAACTTGTCCACTCTTCGAAGAAAACGTGATTTCAGTTCATCCATAGTAATTGACAAAACCGATAATCGTGTTCCAATGTCCAAAGCGTGTTAGATAAAAATCAATCAAGTGACCGGGAGCGCACAATCACAACGAAGTAAGACGGTAGGGAAGATGCAATATTTTTATTTTTGTTTTCATTTTAAAGAATTCCATGTAGAATAAACCACAGATATATTAAAAAATTAAAACATTGTGATTTATCGGAAAAAATGCGGTTTTAAATTGACAATTTAAATTTTCGCGCGAAAACGAACCTATGGTTGCGATGACGTCACTCCTGTCTGTCACTGGTCGTACTTTTTCGTCGCTGGCTTTAAATTTTCATACTTTTGCATATTTTTTCGACTTTCGAAATATTTTTTTGAAAAATTTAAAATGGACCATCCATCAACATCATGATTGTGATCATAACAATACCACTAATATTCCGAAAAAAAGTCGTGTTGACTCATGTGTTGTGCCAATCTACTTCAACAAAGTTTCCAAATAAATTGTTGCATTGTACGTAAAAACGCATTAGTAACCTACCTAATACTTACAAAACCTGTCTATAACATATTTTTAATTTTACAGTTGGAGAATGACGTCGAAAATTCGATAAACTTTAAAATGTGTGGCACAATCTTCACATTGGCAGGACTGAACCAAGCTTTGCGTTTCATTTAAAATAACTGTAACACGATAACCTTCTTTACGTACTTTATGCTCCGGAGAACTCGACCTTTTACTGTACATAATTCTCCATCTCTTTTAATTTGGACATAGCCGATTGCATTATCGCCGTAAGATTTGTAGAAGCCGCTGAATAAAATACGAAGTTTACCAACTACGATTTTTACATACCGTAGTAATTTAGTCCCTTTCATTTCTACACTTAAAAACTCTGCACTTTGGACAAAAAAAGTTATAACCATGTCAACACTAACTCTTGGTAAATTCCTGGAGTCTGTTTTGATAAACGCAACTTCCATTTTTATTAAATGTAAAAAAACGCAATTAATATTCCCATAAAATAATATTTACTTTAACAACCATAACCTCAAAGAAGTTGTCATAACAGGAGTGACGTCACTAAACGCTGATTGGTGTTTTAAGATACGTTCTGTTGCAAGTATTTTTAATTCCTAATAATTGTTAAAAAACAACATTATGTAAAATAAAAACGTTGCAGTGGCATTTCTTTTATATTTTTTTAACATTTTAATCATAAAATTTTCATAAATATTATATATGCATCTTCCCTATTTGCAACTGCATGTCCTTCAACCTCCGTAAACCGTTTTGAGGTAGTTCAGTAAGTGCAAGCGCAGGATGGTCGGCAGGCTTTGTCATCTATATCTGGTTGTATAGTTTGATATGGCATATTATTATGGTTACTAATAATATAAAATAAAGGCACTATAAAGTGAACTTATTTAGCTACTTAAATTTTAAGTGAATTTACTTTACATGGGCATATTTAATATGCCCATTTGTCATATCTTTTGACTGCCAGGATATTTTTTTACGGTGTCATAATAAAAAAGGCTAGTTTTTCATAGATCTATCGATTCATACTAATTACATTGTTGGCGGAGCTGGGTGCGGTTTGCCCATTGTCCTTTGAAGTAAATCCATGCAGTACTTTTTGAGTTTATCCCGGACATACATACAGACCAACAGACAAAAATTTTTAAAACTATATTTTTGGCTTCGGTATCGACTGCAAATCACACCCCAAGTATTTTTTTTTTAAAAATTCAATATACAGTTTTGACTTTCCTACCATTTTATTATATGTATAGATGATATATGTTTAGTGACATTATGGTTATGAGTTAGATTTGTGGTCTCTTATACAAAAACATAGCGAGGTTAGTGTATCAAGTAACTCATTATTTTTTCTTATTCATTTTCGTGATATCCGTGATAGAGAAAATTGTTCATCGCCCCTGCTTTCCTAAGCGAAGAAGCGAGGAGCATACCTTTAATGCTCCTCGCGAAATCCATACAAAAGAAAACACACCTACATAAATTGACATCCAAACTTTCACATTTACTATATTATTAGGATTATGAATTCGGATATTGTGATATAGGATGCTTTTTATCCCGGAATAATGTTAGGTTCTCAATACTTCTCACTTTATTTCTGTGGTTCTCGCAAAACTAAGTAGGTACCTTCTTTTATCGCAGACGAAATAGCGTGCGGAAGCTAGTAAGTAGGTATTTCTTTTTACCTAAATTAGCGGTAGTGTTCCTGTAAAGTTGGAGGTATGGATAATGTACTTAAATCACTTCGGTTTAGGTGGAGTTTTCTCAGACTTTCGCTCCAATATGATCGTAAAATCACCTGAGCCATAAGCAATCAATCATCTCTCACTTTATAAATAAGCATGTGAAAATACTTGTTTTTCATCTTTTAAATGACTATTACGTAGGATTATTTTTAAGTTCAAAGTTCTACAAATGTAAATGATTAACGATTTAAAGTTCTGTGTGGGTTAGATACCTACTTTACCTATAAATAAACATGTGAGTAATTTATGGACTCTGAATTGTTTAACTAATGATTATACTTACAAAGTTCTTTTTATACTAAAGATACACAAAAACATAAATAATAGGTTGGGGAATAAGTCTTTTCGCGTTATAGTATGTATGAACTTGTAATAAAATCTCTATACCTAGGGCTGCCATCCGTCCGGGTTTTCCCGGATTTGTCCTAGTTTACGGGGCGTCCGGGGAGCGTCCGGGCGGGGTTTTATTTGTAGTCCGGGTTAAAAAAATTACGCCTGAGTGGCCCTTGGTGCTGCAAGTGTCCATGGGCAGCAGTGACCACTTATTATGAGGTAGACTGCTTGCTCTTTTGCCTAGATCAACATAAAAAAGTTGATTTGTGACATTTTTAACTGTTTTTTTTGGTCTGTCCGGGTTCTGGGTAACAAAATCCGGGGTTATCACGCGTCTTATCCTGGTTGCCACATTTTAGAGATGGCAGCCCTATCTATACCTATACTTTTTGTATCTGGCTGGTTTTGGTACCATTAAAGAGTTGAAATTTTAAAGAAGAATTTCTTATTCTTACTGTCAAGATGATTGAATCTAATGAAGAAATTCGATACATCTACAAAAAAGGCTTTGTAAAAAAAGGTAAAAATGCAACGGAAGCCGTGAAAAATATGATGTTTATGGATCCAGTGCAGTGTCTGTGGGAGTAGCATTTTCAATCCAGAAAGGAGATTGCTCAGCTTCCATACATGTTTGGCCTAAAGACCAATAATTATGAAAAATTGTTTCCTAGATTCGAAATTATATATAAATTACTGTAGAAACGAATATTATTGACGGACACCCCTGAGAACTTCTATAAACCATTTACACTGAACAAATTAAAATAATAAAAAACAAATAAGTTACATAGTAAACTAGGGAAATCAAGCCAAGTACCGAAATTATGGATTAGATTCAGGTATATAGAGCATGTAGATTAACAGAAATTTGCCTATTTTTAAAGTTAATGCATAAGAGTAACTTTTAAAATCAGGTGTCATTTCCGGTTATAATATGGTACTCTGTGACAGAAACTGTGTGATGATTGTGAATGAGCCGTCTAGTTTTTTAGTTTCTCAAAACTTTCTGAGTGTCCCACGTATAAATGTAAAAGTTTTTATATTTTTTACTCAATCACGCAAAAACTACTGAACGGATTTGGATGAAATTTGGTACGCATATACTTTATGACATGGAATGAAACATATGTAGGATACTTTTTATCCTAGAAAAATGTAAGAGAAACCTAACATTTGGAGAATCCCTCAAAAATCTCAAGTTGCAAGCAGCCGCTTGTTAATTAATAAAGTAGGTACCTAGTTAAAATGTACGCAAGTTGCCGTACGCGTACTTACAAAATATTTATCTAAATTATAAGTTTAAAAAGGTGAAATGAGAATGTTTTGCGTTATAGAGCTACAGGTCGCTTATTTGTGAAGGATACATCGAAAAAGAGTTATTGATTGTTACGAAGGATATAAAATGATTCACCCTACTTACTATGTAAACTTACATTTTTATAAGCTTCTCTAATCTATTTTTTTTGTTACAGTGATATATGTGGGATAGCGAAAATGGCAATGTTCAATGCTATTCTCGGCTGCATAATGGCATTTTTGATTATATTGTACACCATCAGCTCTATGGCTAGATATTATATAAAGGTGAGTTAAACCTTAATAACGCTTTGATTTCAACATGGTTCCGGTTTTTATGGCGTGTTGTTTAATTGATATTAAATTAAGAGCCCTTTTACAAAATTGCGCAGCTGCCGTACTGATCGGCGCGTAGGTAGATTTGCACTAGATATATTGCATTTTACGGGTGATGCTTCGAGTCTTATAAAATAATTATTAATGAACTAATTATAAAAATATATAAATATTTTAGTAGTTCAATAATGGTAGATAAGTTTTATGAAAGTTTTTGATAGTAATTCTATTTAATTCAATATCAAAATACGGGTAAACCTGCATTGTTTTTTGGGAAAACTCACGGAGATGAGATTTTTTTTGATAATTAATGAGATGGAAAATCAAAATTCTAATACATTACGTTACAACAAAAATCCTCTATGGTTGCGAAGCTTGGACTATTAAAGAGGACCTTCGTAGACGTATTGAGGCTTTCGAAATGTGGACTTACCGACGCATGCTCTCAATCAGCTGGACTCAAAAAGTTACCAATGTCGAAGTTCTAAGACGTGTCGGTCAAACTCGCAAATTGATGCAGACCATCAAAACAAGAAAAGTTGCCTACCTCGGTCATGTCTTCAGACACGAGAGATACGATTTACTGCAACTCATTATGATGGGCAAAATTGCGGGGAAACGTCGAGTAGGCCGTCGGAAAAAGTCATGGCTTCGAAACATCCGCGAGTGGACCGGTGTCAAGAGCGCCGCGGAATTGTTTCACCTCGCCAGGGACAAAGCGAGGTTTTCAAAGCTGATGTCCAACCTTCAGTAATTGGAGAGGAACACGAAGAAGAAGACAACAAAAATATATTTTTGATGTCGTAGTAATTAATTTGATCTAATTTATTCAACATTATTTAGAGATTCAGGCGTTTGAAGTTGTGCATATTATCGATTTTTCCGTAAACTAGCTGCGGTAGAACGATCAGTACAAAAAAAAGGAAAATAGTATTTTCAAATATTCTACATTAACTTACAATAGGAAGAATAAATTTACTGTTTACTTCTATTGGTAATAGTCAAAATCTTTAAACGAGGCGCCCAAAAATTACGATTTTTTGCAAAAAATGTGAAAGGGCTCTTAAGTACTCACTTATATACTTAGTAGGTACTCAGATACATATATTTGTAAAGGATACTTTTCACAAGTGTTCACAAGTATATTCCGTTATGTATTTATAATATTTGTTTAATCGTTACATTGTTTTTTCTTCCAGTTCAGCATATATATGATAATGTCAATGTTGTGTACAGCAACACCTCTACCTCTGATGTTATTGAAACCGTTTGATCCAAAGAACGCTTTGTAAGTACTTAACTTTAAATATCATATATTTTTACAGCGACACGCACCAGGTTAGAGGCGGTGAGATCCCTAGGGGACCTCAAGCTGGGATATGGCAAGTGCCTCTAGTCATTTTCTAAGCGGATGGCATCTGCTTTCGGGAGTAGTTTCCCCTCCGCCGTAGTGTCACTAGGGCACACGAGCCTGAGGAGCGACGGCTCAACTAGAACTGTTACAGATGATCACAGTAAAATAACACTACCTTTTGGTGGTGTTGTGACTAAGGTTCTATAGCTCCTCGGGGTAGGGGATTTTGTCAGGGTAGGCAACGGTGCGAGTGATATTTTTGGTTTCGCAAGCGTCTATAGCACAATATTTTGTGCCTATAGGCTATGGTGGCCGCTTTCCATCAGGCAGACCATACTCTTATTTGTTACCCTTGTAACCTGACAAAAAAAAACTAGAGGGCTACGCGGAGGCAGTAGCCACAGCGATATCTTCAAATCATTCTGGCAATTTTTGCAGGGGGGAATGAGCACACGAGGCGGTTCTGCATAAGAAGATACTGAATTTCGATACTAGCACAAAATAATGTCTTTTAAGTGCTAAATCTTAAACACTTAAATACCCATATCATCATGAGGGAAAGATGATTATGGCTACTCGTCTCGTTCTATGGCAGACAACATTGATTATGTAAATGACTTAATGAAATAAAAACCTTTTAGGATACCAGCAGCGCTGCTAAGGGTTGTCGTTCGTTGTTTGGGCGTTCGCTCGACAGTGCGTGGCCTGGAAAATGTTGACAACAGTCGCGGTGCAGTTGTACTTCTCAACCATCAAAGCGGTCTCGATCTTTATGGTAAATACTAAAAATATATTTTCTAAACGATGTACTCTTGGATGATGCACATTAAAAAAAATACAACGTTATCTTACAAAAAAATATTTGTATTTATTCACACAATTTGGAGATTTATTAATTATAAAATAAAATTGCATACACTCCTACATATACAGAACCTTTACAAAAAACGGTATCTGAATCATCATCACTATTCAGACATACGACGCCAACTATTGGTTAAGGCTTACCTTATCCAAAGATCTCCTCGCTGATCGGTTCCGAGTTGGCGCATCCAGCGCCCTCCCGCGAGCTTTAGGCGTTTAGCAGACGACGGGGCGGGGCGGGCATTTTGTCCGCGAAGCAATAAAGACCGCGTCTGCCCGTCGATGTCTGCGGCTGCCCGCGCCGCGTACACAAAGCACACGACGCGCAGAGGCGGTAGTTCAGGACGTTCGTTCTAGTGAATAGTCCATCACTAAAAAGCGCGTGGCGCGGACTGAGCTGACCGCCCCGCGCCGCCGTCTGCGTTACTGCATATAAACTGGTTTGTATGATCCACCGCGGGCAGCCGCGGACATGCCGCGCCGCCACTGCCCGCCGGGCACCCAAGGCGCGGTCTTTTTGCCCTCTGTGTGCGTTTGTAGTATAGGATTCACTTTGTGCTATTATTCGTGGCGAAATTGACCGGCCCGCCCCGCCCCGTCGTCTGCAAAGCGCCTTCAGGTTCAAGTCTGAGATGGGCTCCAGACCACAAACTAAACTTTGTTGCTGTTCATCCAGTTCTTTACAAAAAATCAAATCCAAATTACCGTAATAATGCAATTTGGTTATCTTACCGTCTCCGATCCGTTCAAAGTGGGTATATTAATACGTTTAAAGACTTCGATCAAAAGATAAAAGCACAGAATTTGACTTTGAGATCCTTTATCGTATCGCAGCGTCAAAGTTTCTATCTAGAAATTAAGCAGGGTCCCAGGGGCACGGGCGTAAATAAGAACAAACTGGCTACTTCAATAGAAAAGGCGATGACAATAACCTCTGTGAAGTTAGCCCCCCACTTTTTGAATTTCATTATTATCTAGGTTGTTCTGGGTTGTTCTACATTGTTCCAAAGTATTATTTGAAAAAAACTAAAATTGTAAGCTGCCAGACAAGAAAAACCGTTTTTCTATGGTAGCCCCCCATGTTGGAAATCCAATATTTTTTTAGTTGTTCCAAGTTGTTCTAGTTGTTCCGAACATTGTTCCAAAGTATTATTTGAAAAAACTCAAATTTGAAGCTGCCAGACAAAAAAAACTTTTTTATGGTAGCCCCCCATGTTGGGAAATTCAATATTTTTTTAGTTGTTCCAAGTTGTTCCTAACATTGTTCCAAAGTATTATTTGAAAATATTCAAATTTGAAGCTGCCAGACAAAAAAAACGTTTTTATGGTAGCCCCCCATGTTTTGAAATTCAATACTTTTTTAGTTGTTCTAGTTGTTCCTAACATTGTTCCAAAGTATTATTTGAAAAAACTCAAATTTGAAGTTGTCAGGCAAAAAAAACCGTTTTTGAGATAGCCCCCCATGTTTGGAAATTCATTATTTTTTTAGTTGTTCCAAGTTGTTCTAGTTGTTCCTAACATTGTTCCAAAGTATTATTTGAAAAAACTCAAATTTGAAGCTGTCAGACAAAAAGCCGTTTTTCAGATAGCCCCCCATGTTTGGACATTCATTATTTTTTTAGTTGTTCCAAGTTGTTCTAGTTGTTCCTAACATTGTTCCAAAGTATTATTTGAAAAAAATGAATTTGAAGCTGTAAGTAAAAAAAAAACTTTTATTTATAAAATAAAATCAATCGTACCTACCAGAGACAATAAATATATCAAAAATCAATTTAAACAATGACGATTGTATAACAACAGTACAACCGTGGGATATATCGTTCCAATTTCATTGAATCATTTTGAATTAAATTAATAGAAAAGAAAACATTAGAATATAGGGTAAACTCCCTAATTGTTGGCACTTTAAGAGTAGGTAGCATGTCAGACATTAAATTACCATAAAATCACATCTAAATGAGTTAGTACACAACACATGTTACACATGTAACAGTATCAAAGAAAGTAGTTTAATCTTTGTTTTCATAATGGTATAGTCAATGAAGGCAAAAATCAGCTGCAACCTCCGATTTCGTTGAACCTCCATCGATTTTCATGAAAATTGGTAAGTAGGTGGGGGATACCATAAGAAACAAAAGTGCCATAGTGCCAACTTGCGCTTTTGCCCTGAGGGTAGATACCACCCCTTCTCGGGGGTGAAAATTATTTTAATAAAAATAACTCCAGGAATCGATAGAAAGACAAATTCTAAGTAAAATTTGTTATATTAAGTTTTCGGAATAAATCAATACTTTCTGAGTTATTAAAGATAAAATATTGTGATTTTGCGTGATAAAAATACATGTTTAAGCGGTTTTTCATAAATAACTCAAAAACTATGAGCTTTACAAAAAAAAATATTAGTACCAAAATTGAAGCTAATATAAAAACAAACAAACGCCTACTTTGCCTACAAAAACCTACTAATTTCAATTCAAAGTGAGCTATAGCTAATAAAAAAAACAAACACCTTATTTGAAAAACCTTCTTATATGAATTCAAAGTGAGCTATAGGCAATTGTATGTACATATTTTTTTTCGGCAAGTACTTAAATCTAAGTATTCAAACCTAAATAACGGGAAACCGATGAATTTATGACATACACTTCCGGAGCACTTTTTAAATTCCTCAGAAATACCTTTATGATGAGCACTGTAAAAAGTTAATAGCTTCAAAATTGAAAAAGTTATGATAAAAAACGAAAAATAAACCCTTCATTCCAACCATTCATCAAAATGCATCGGTTTCCCGTTAGTTAGGGCTGGAAACTTAGATTTAAGTACTCGTCGAAAAAATATATACATACAATTGCCTAAGAAGGTGTTTGTTTTTTTTATTAGCTTCAATTTTGGTAATAATTAGACTTGCAACGAATAGTATATTCGGCAGTATACCGAATATTCGGCGAGGCCCCTGACCGAATAGCTGAATATTAGGCAAAAGTATTCGGCTGGATTTTAGCGCCAAAAACTTGTACAAACGTGATTGTTTCGCGCCCCTTTGTTTGCAGTGCAATTCAGTCAAACGCAGTTTCAACAGAAATGGATCTTTTCTTAAATATTAGTAATATATCACGTCATGACAACCCATATACATGGTGGCAGCAAGGAAAATTGAATTTCCGTGTTTGATTAAGATTGCAGCAAAATATTTGTCGGCGCCAGGAAGTAGTGTTTATTTAGAGCGCCTTTACTCTGTAGCTGGGATGGTGTATGAGAAAAAAAGAATTTCTACTACTTCCTAAAAATGCAGAAAATTTAGTCTTTCTGCACCATAACCTTCCCCTTCTAAATTTTGATTATGAAAATAATTCAAGTGCATAGAAAAATTCTTAACTTGTTTAATACAGAAAATGATTAAAATATGTTCCTGTTTTATGTACTAATGACTACTTAATAAATGATTATAAGAGAAATGAGAACCTTACCCTTTTAAATTTTGATTACCACAATAATTCAAATACATAGAATCCTCCATTTTTCCAATTCAAAAGATGATTATGTATCAATGGCTACTTTAATGATTATATACAACAGAAATGAAAATATGAATATATACCTACGTAATCAATCGATATTAATTTTCATTTTACCAATTATTTCTCTATGACAAAATATATTATTTAAGTATTCGGTATTCGGCCGAATATAATAAAAGCAGCCGAATAGGCCGAATACCGAATATTCGTTGCGTCTAGTAATAATATATTTTTCTTTAAACTCATAGCTTTTGAAATATTTATGAAAAACCGCTTAAAACATGAATTTTTTGACGCAAAATCACAATCTTTGATCATTATTAACTCAGAAAGTATTGATTTATTTCGAAAACTTAATATAACTACTTTTGCTTAGAGTTTGTCTTTCTATCGATTCCTGGAGTTATTTTTATTAAAATAATTTTTACCCCCGAGAAGGGGTGGTATCTACCCCTAGGGAAAAAGCGCAAGTTGGCACTATGTCACTTTTGTTTCATATGGTATCCCCCACCTCATCACCATTTTTCATGAAAATCGATGGAGGTTCATCGAAATCGGAGGTTATAGCTGATTTTTGCCTTCATTGACTGTACTATTATGAAAACAAAGATTGAACTATATTTCCTTGATACTGTTACATGTGTTGTGTACTAACTCATTTAGATGTGATTTTATGGTAATTTAATGTCTGACTGACATGGAACCTACTCTTAAAGTGCCAACAATTAGGGAGTTTACCCTATAGTGTAATGTTTTCTTGTCTCATAACTATTAATTTTATTCAAAATGATTAAATGAAATTGGAACGATATAGCCCACGGTTGTACTGATACAATCGTCATTGTTTAAAATTATTGTTGTTTTATTTATTGTCTCTAGTACGATTTGACTTGGCGGGCTATCTCAAAAACGTTTTTTTTTGCCTGACAGCTTCAAATTTGAGTTTTTTCAAATAATACTTTGGAACAATGTTAGGAACAATTAGAACAACTTGGAACAACTAAAAAAGTATTGAATTTCAAAACATGGGGGGCTACCATAAAAACGTTTTTTTGTCTGGCAGCTTCAAATTTGAATATTTTCAAATAATACTTTGGAACAATGTTCGGAACAACTAGAACAACTTGGAACAAATAAAAAAATATTGAATTTCCAAACATGGGGGGCTACCATAAAAACGTTTTTCTTGTCTGGCAGCTTCAAATTTGAATATTTTCAAATAATACTTTGGAACAATGTTCGGAATAACTAGAACAACTTGGAACAACTAGAACATCTTGGAACAACTAAAAAAATATTGAATTTCCAAACATGGGGGGCTACCATAAAAACGTTTTTTTTGTCTGGCAGCTTCAAATTTGAATATTTCCAAATAATACTTTGGAACAATGTTCGGAACAACTAGAACAACTTGGAACAACTAAAAAATATTGGATTTCCAAACATGGGGGGCTACCATAGAAAAACGGTTTTTCTTGTCTGGCAGCTTCAAATTTTAGTTTTTTCAAATAATACTTTGGAACAATGTAGAACAAACATAGAACAACCCAGAACAACCTAGATAATAATAAAATTCAAAAAGTGGGGGGCTAACTTCACAGAGGTATGACAATACGATTACAGATTTCTCAAAGTTCGTGCTTGGCCGACTGATTTTGTTTGTAAAAAGTAATCTCTGTAATCGCTGAACTGATTTCGAAAATTCTTTTATCAATAGTTAAAAAAAATCACCCGTCCATAGGCAGGGCGGGTTATTAATATATATATATATATATATATATATATCATATATATAGATATCAACCGTATGAAATCGAGATGGGCCACTTGTTTATGTTACAGCGAATAATAAAGTTGATATTGTGTTCATAAATAAACGTAGTTGTCTTTCTTTATTTAGTAGTAACTTACAGAATTAACTCTTCTCGCACATTGTATAACTTATAGGATATAAGTGTTGTTGTGTTGAAAAATAAAACTCTTTTTAATCGTTTTAATTTGTAATTTTCAGTGCTGGCAGTGCTATGGCCGCTTATGGCCCGGTGTACTGTGGTGGCGAAGCGTTCTCTGCAGTTCTTGGTACCGTTCGGAACTGCTGCTTGGTTGTGGGGGACTGTGTTCATCAAACGAGGTGCCCAATCCGCTCGGGAGGCCCTCAATGAACAATCGAACGCGATAAAGAATAATAAGGTAGTTTTAATTAGATTAAATTTTTTAGAAGAACAAAAATGCTTTTTATAGCAATGAGATCCAGTCGAAAGAAACTATGACATCCTATTCCTTATTCATATACCCTTAGATGTCATCATTATCATTATTTAACTTATTTTTTATGGTAATCAATATTTTCAATTTTAATATTCATTTCACTGGTCGTCCTTATTTCAAAACAGAATTACACAACCAATATGGTTATAGGCACCTATTGAGGATGTTTCCTATTGTTGAAGTTAGTCACCTGGCCTTGAAAACCGTGTCAATATCATGTAATCTGAAGGTCGTGCATACGATGCTCAGCATATAAACTCATTCTGTTTGTTGTCCATTAGATAGAATAGACTAATAGGAATCGCACTAAACTAGGTAACTTAAGATTCACCATCATGCGCGATGGAAACTTGAATTCAAAGAAAACTGAATTAAGTAACCTACTTACTTAATTTAATTTTTCCTGTGTAAAAAACATTACCAAAATTTTCAAAAGACCTGACTGACGCAATAATACTTATTTTTTTAAATCCAACCACATTCTAACTAGATAGGTACTTTCGGCCTCTTTGCCATGTTGCCATTGAAGCAAACAATTATACCGAATTCATTCCATAAATGTTCTAAGAACTTTAAAACGGTCAGGCTGACCCAGTTATGATAGAACGTGTGAAATAGTGACTCTACGTAAACAAAGACATCCATAGTCCATACATGTAAGCGGCGCACGCGCTTGTGAATACAGTCAATATGTACTTAGGGTTAGATTAAATATTTTGTCTACATATTATGGTTCTAAGTACATTCTACAAATTCGATAGTAAAAAAATCGGACTTAGCTCACGGAGGTTTGATGTTTTTTACAAAATTAATGAGACGGAATATTAATATTATGATACATAATGTTACAACCAAAACGTATTTCTGATAACATTCTTCAATCTAATTCATAGATTTAGGCGTTTGAAGCTGTGAATTTTATCGTTTTTTTCCGTAAAAAAGGTGCAGTAGAACGATCAGTACAAAAAAACCATAACAACATTTACCTAGCCTGAAAGGTAATTAATATACTTAGCGAGTTTCCTATATCTAAATAAAGGAAACTCGCTTAGTATATTAATAGAATCAGATGTTCAAACGAGTTCTTTGTTAATAATATCCTAGCTTAGATGGGTGTGTCATAATTTCGTGATCAGCATTTTATTTGTTCGTTATCATTAAGTACTTGACCGATAGATAATGATTAACACCTAACTGTTTTCGTAACATTTTTTTGATACTAAAGTCGTGTAAACATTAAAATCCGATACACAGAACGCGAGTCGTGAGTCAATAACTTGTTGTTAAACCTATCTACCAAAGGTTAATGACGAAAGAGGATTTAGTTTTAGATGGCCCAAGTGGTAGCGCATTTGGTCTGCGATCAAGGAAATTAGGCAACCGGATCCCAAGATCTCAATAGCCGGTAATAGGATGGGTGATCAAAAAAATATTATCATGAGCTCTATCTAGATTCCTAATCAGTAAAGATGTCTAGATAGTTAAATGTTTACATTATATAATATGCATTTGTCGTGGAAGGCTATAATAATAACAGGCTACGTCCAATGGGAGCGGGCCACTAATGAAAAATAATGCAAAAACGGGGAAAAAAAAATCCAATTGAGAGCTTTCGTTACGTGTTCGCGGTAAACGTTTAAAGTTACACAAAAATCATGTATGATAGAACTGTGCCCTTTTAAAAGTTCTCCAAAAAGCATACAGCATATTTGAGTAATTATGCATATCTTTTATGGTTGACTCACTATACATTATACTTTTTTTTTTGACGATGGAAAATTCATTTACGGACCATACCGTGCGCTGGCCAGGCGGGCGGCGTGTGTGGGACTCCCGACGCGGAACAGCGCCGGTCCTACCCACTAAAAACCACCACCCTCCTACGCCCTTGTGGGAGCGTCTCAGGATCCGCGCACCTGTGTCCGCAACTTCACTGGGACGCCCCCGGGCACTATACATATACCTTACCCTTTTTCTCAAATTAACGCGGGTGAAACTGCAGGACTCCTCTAGTTTAATTAATAAGTTCATGGATAAAACAGTTTATCTGTTCCGTAAATAAGGAAAATCGTCGAGGTAGGCACTTATTCCATTCGCTATCGAAATACATAGTAGTTACTTGGGTTAAAGTTAAAGACAGCTACGAAAGTTATTGGTTGGTTAATCTTGATAATATCGTATATTTTGCCACGATTATTTTTATCTGTGATTAGCTGTACCACGCGGTAACGTAGCGGATATCGGAGATCTTCGCCCATATTTGAACGCCTATCTGTGGAAGTTACCTCCATCGAACCCCTACCCCACGGGGTAGGCAACGGCGCAAGTGATATTCTACAAATTAATTTAAAGAATAATTACATGTAGCGAGCTCTTTAATCAAATGTTTGAAAGCCCCATATTATAAATATTGAGAAATAAATATCGTTTGAGATTAACGGATGCCTACCTTAAAGACACATTTCGGATTTGCTGTTGCTGTTGTTTTCCGCTTAATCAAATTATAAAAATAACTTCCTAAATAAAAAAGGGTTCCTTTATTAGATGCCCAACGTAAAGAGTAAATAGGACAACAGCTGGGCGATTGCATTCTTTTAGCATTGAATACTATGGAATTATTATTTATATGGATTTTTGAAGTTATACTTCTTTAGGCGCGTTATGAAAAAATGATGAGAGTGACATTTTAAGATGCGCGCGCATCACTGTAACACAAAAATTAACAGCATGAAGTTCATGCTGTTACTTTTGTGTTTACCGCACATTAAGAAAATCTACCAACAAAATAGAATCTCTATTTATTAGTGGGTGCTAACGACTGCATTGTGAAGGCCTATCAAAAGTATTTATTAATCTGGAACAACGGAACCAAAGCGCGATTCAGGAGACTACAGCGCCATCTCTTGACCATTGGTGTAGTAGAACCAAAAACCACATCTTAATTTTTTGTAATAAAGTAACAGTTATAGGTATTCATATTTATAATATTTATCCACATGTTTCTAGTTTGTATATTCGGAATACGTGTTTGAGTTTCATACAAGTGCAAATCACATATGTTCTAATAAATTATATTCAGTAGCGATTTTAATTGAATATTTTGATTATTTATTTATTTTTTCAAATTAAAACTGAACTTTATTGACTGTGTCCTTTTCCAGACTTTTTATTAATTTATTGTAATTAATTATTTGCATGCAATTAAAAACTAATTTTAAACGATGCCAAAGAAGGATAACTTCTCACGCGCCTACATAAGTACACGCACCCATTTTTTTTTAATTTGTTTTAAACTTTCATGGTCGCTAACATTATAGCTATTAACGGGATTGTTACCAGTTTTTTATGAGTCATATATACATTTTATGAGGTTGGAGAAGAGAATTCAAGGGGGTGGAAAATATTGCCACTCCATTTTGCTAAGACCTACGCTACGCCACTTCTTGTGATTCAGTCCATATATGGACTATCAACTCCTATAGAGAGTATAGGCCCAACAGTGTTGACTGACGTCGATTAATATGATGAAAAAACTGTTTTTTTCAGCGGAAGCTGCTCTTATTTCCTGAAGGCACGCGACATAGTGGGGACAAATTGCTGCCATTTAGAAAAGGAGCTTTCCACGTGGCCTTAGCAGCCAACGCACCTATTCAACCTGTAGTAATCTCCAAATATCACTTTTTGGATTCAAAACGTCATATATTTGGTTCAGGTAAATTTATATCACACATAAGTATGTGGGGGAAAACCGTATGATTTGCTGAGGTGGAAGAGTTGAATCATGTTTTAAAATTGTATTTATATTAAGCGCAAACAAAACGTCCATTCTTTCATTGGTCAGATGCGAGACTGTTTTATTGTGGTTGGCGTCGCACTCGGTTTTCCCCTACTTATTTCAAATCTCCCTTTGACTTTGTTTTTTTACAAATCCTCCTCAGAGGTCCATCTAGCAGAGTTCTTATTTTGGAAAGATATATAAGTAAAATAACGGTTTAAAAAAAAGAAAAATAGAAAAAATATAGTTGCACTACCTTATAAGTAGTTTACTTACAACGATGACGTGAATTGTTTTTCGGGTTCCATAACCGAATAGATATATCGGAACCCTATTACTTAGAGCCATGTAATTCACCAACCTAGGCGAGTCATTAGTACTTATAATCAATGGCGAGTAGCTAGCCTACAGTCACTAAGGGCTTGGCTCTGAGCATCTTCGAAGTGAAGCTTTAAGTAGCCTAACCTTGTAGTATTGATTATATGATAGCATTGGTATTGCATTCATCTTTTAGGCACCAGTCCTGCACTGGTGTGTTGTAGGTTTCATTTGTATTGTGCAAAACTAATTGGAAATACCAGTTATTGTGTTGGAAAATAAATAAAAATATATTATTGATGTGACTTGATGTTCTCTCATTTCCTTTCACAAATATTTCAAATCTAACACTAAGCAGTTTCCATTGCGGTGTGGCTTTAAATTTACTGCTACATCTTTAATACTCTTATAACTCCGCAAGAGATACAAGACTGAACATATATTTGTAATTTTTACAGGTGAATTCATAATAACGATTATGCCCATCGTAGAGACTGAGGGGCTGGACAAAGATGACATTGCATCACTCATTGAAAAGGTACAGATGAGCATGCAAGAAGAATTCACGAGGACTTCTGCAGAGACGAAGGCTTGTCGCGTAAAATCTGCAAAAGACGAATGAGGTACGAGTCCTATCCGATGATTTCATACTGTTTCCGGGAAATATTATTTTGGTGGACGTTGGGCGCCAAATTGTAACACTGCTAATATTTGTTTACAAAAGTAACTTTACGCGGGTTGGTTATTTTGCTATTTTAGATTAAACGTTTCCAAAGAAGGCAAATGTTCGAGTTGTAGTCTTTCGTTTCTTATGTGCCTTCCCATAGTGATTTAAGACAAGAACTACCAAACTATTAAGTTTGAAATTGTGTAATGTCATTGTTTGCATATTTAATTCGTTTTTAAGAGATTCTATTATTTTAAGGTAATTCAAATAAGGACCTAAACCATAATGAGCTGTGATAAACATACAAAATGTAGTATCGTTATAATATTAACGTGTTACTTGTAAATATTACTTACAATATACGAAGTTTATTTAAATCAACGTCGTTTTTTTTCAAATGAAAAACATTCATCCTGTCTTACTTTTTATTAAAAGACTTCACATATGAAAATATGGAAAAATAGTACATATTTCAATGCCAATGTCTCAAATTAACGAACTAAACACAAGTTAAATATTTGCCATTATTTAATCACAATGCTCGGACCATTGTATACACTTTGCTGGATAAAAGAATTTTAAATATACGTTATAATGATACATAAAAATTTCACATACGACGACGACCACTGTAATACCCACGGAATAGATAAAAAGTTTCTTGCGATTGTAAAGACTATTCATCAGCCATAAGTATAATGTATGAGAATCCACGCGCTTCAGAAAAAACAGATCTTCTTTTGTCTATATCGCTCTCGATTTGTTATAAATATATTTTTTGACATTGCCAAACATTTTGATTGACCCTACCAAACTTTTCTACCCACTCCGTGGGCCTATATTGTAAGATGACAATAAAAATGCATGTAAGTATTAATTACTATTTTCATAGCTTTTTGTTGTGTATATGTAAGTAGATATTATAATTTCACAGCTTATGTTAGCAGGTTTAATTTGTTGATACGCGTTGCATGTAATTAACCAACCGCCTAGTCATTGACCTCCCTAAAAATATTTATAAAATCAGTTGCATTATGGTACTTACTTTTATAAGCAATTTCGCCGGAAGGGGCCCACCCTTAGCGACATCTTCTTGGTAAGTTTGTATTAGACTCGAATGCAGTGCGAAAGCCCTTCAAATAAATTTTGTTATTGTATAAACAGACGCAAACAATGTCTAAACAAATCTTGTTCTTTTTATTAAAAGCAAAACGTTTTCGCTTATATAGTTGATTTTATGATACCAAAGACTTCGAGGGTATGTAGAATGCGTAACGCATGGTCAGTCATATTAAATGCAACACGCATCAACGTATTTATATCATTGCGGCTGAGTAGTGTGTGAGTGATTTGACACCGTACGATATTGAAAGTTGCAAACACCATAGGTACGTATAATACGCAAGACTATTTTGAATATAAAACGGCGTAAAAGCGAAATCTATTAAAAAAACAAACAAACAAGATGTTTGAATTTAAACTGCAGAGTTAACGCTTAACATAAGACTATTGACATAATAGATATGAACGTATCACATATAGATGCTTCGTAAGATAAGATTATATGAAATGGAAACTAAATGAAGATTCATAAAATTTACTTGAGATATCTCATAAATGAAGGCTATTTTGGGAATTTTGTGTACTTTTTTTTGTCATTCAATTGGGAATCTTATTTCAAATATAAGACACGATAAAGCTCTACCAATAGAGACTTTAAGATAACTTGACCTGTTCTTAGTAGTACATGCCAAATGCAAATCGCTTAAAATCACTTTCTACAAGCCATATAGTAAATAAGGGGAAACCATGTATTGTATAACCAACTTATTGCAGTTCTGTATAAAAGTAATACTTATAACATTTTTATTTCCTGGTCAAGTTTTCTTAATATCATATTGGTGTCGATTCTGACATGGTTCTCTGAACCTAAATTTAAATTTGACAACAGTGTATCCTTGTCATTCTCTATACAGAATGAAAAGGACTGATGTTAAATTTAGTTTTAAGTTTAGAGAATCACGCCAAAATCGACATCATTGACGACAATAATGCTATCCGCCTTTTAAATACCTACTACAACATTTGATACAACTATATAAATAATTTTTAAGTTGATTTTGTGTTTGAGGGTGCAATACTCCATGCGTAGTAGGTATCATAAAGTAACTAATGAAATTATTTTTAATAATATAATAATAATATACATAATCCTAATTTCAGTAACTGATTGCACAGCATTATGGTATTACATTTACAAATATTATATAAAGAAAATTTAATTTTGTGTATCTTATTCAAATAGATAAAAAATGAAAAAAAAAAAAGTGTTATTTAATGACTTCATTGTCAGATTGTTTACATAGAAAAGTAACCAGAAACCCCATTTTTTATGTTAAAAACTTTGCTTTTGTACTTTATACAATGATAAATATTTTATGAGTCTTGAGCGGTATAAGGCCTTGCAAAACGAGTAATAACTACATGGACTTTGTTTTAAATTTAGGGACAACAAAGTTAGTTTATCCAGTAGTCAAAGCCTTCATTGAACATATGAAGCTTAATTTTAACTTCCTATTCGAAGTCAGGATAAAATATGGGCGTCACATGAGGATATAAAAAAATTCCATTTTATTTTTGTTTACTTCACTGCCAGCAACACATTCAGAGTGTCAGAAAATCAAATATAATATTAAGAATGATATATTCGCCTTCGTTATGGGCCTTATGCTTATTTTAATGTCTCCGTTGCATAACAGATTGGTTTACTGAAACAGTTTATTAAGGCTTTACCTACGTCAAATTCTGAAGACATTTTTCCCTGAATTTTCAGACTAAAAATTATAAGAAATGCTAAAAATAACAATTTTTGAAATTGAATCAATATTTTTTTATTTTCGTTTTAAGACTTGGTTTAATTGTAAATAAAAGCGATTACAATAAATAAATAAATGTTTATTTTTCTTGTTGAATACAGCTCAAAGAAAAAAAGTTTGCAATTTTCTGTTTTTTAATTCTGATAGCTACAAAAGCAAACTTTTTTAAATATCAAATCGGGTAGTTTTTATTAAGTAAAAGATGACTGGCGAACAGCAGTTTTGAGTCCAGGGGCGTATTTGGAAATCTAGCGCCCCGGGCCAACGATTTGCCACCCCGCCACTCAAGTAGAAATCAAATGAAAATATAGTAACGAATGCCTTTTGTCGCCCTTCGCAGCGCTTGCAGTCGTCACTCCCAGCCTGCCGCCCCGGGGCATGACCCTCTTGGCCCTAGGGTAAATGCGTTACTGTTTGAATCACAATATTTGTTGTATTTTTGAGTCGTTTGAGAGCTTTTTATAGTTACCTCATAATGTTTATCAACTAAATTGAACAGTAGCTTTGTAGCGGTAAAAGTTATTGCTCCAATGAGAGGCCGATAGAAAGTAAAAATCGTGTAAAAATATGATCACCATACATTCATACCATTTTTTTTATTTGAAGCATTTTTGATTCCAACATATGATTTAGTTAGAGCCAGCTCTGCGTTTATATTATTTCATAGAACAGCGCTAGGCGGGTCTCCCGTCGCAGCGCTGTTCTATGAAATGTAACATCATGGCTGCCATAGGAAAAAAAACTTATATTATTACAAAATTAAAAATACACATGTTAAAATGTAAAATAAATTAATTAAAAAAGGCTAAGCGTAGGTTATATTTTTTTGTCTTTCCTTAAACAATCCATTGGTAGTTAAATATTTGTTGACACTTTTGCCAAACTGTAGTGGACTTAACTTTAAAATCACATGGAATCAAATTAGTTAAATATCATTAAAGGGAATATGTATATTGATTAAGATACATTAACTCGCATAGCCACATTAACTATCGATTAGATCTACATTTATTATACAAAGCTTTAAACAGTAATAAACGCTAGTTCCATTTAGTAGTTTGAGTAAGTACATATTGTTTTAAAAATGTATTGAATGTTTTTATTATTGTACAGTACCGTAATAAATGATTTGCAGAATAAAACAATAATCACAGCTTAAAAAAAATATGTTGCTATATTCAAACATCCCATCCTAAATTAATGTTTTTTCCCTTACATTATATAGAAATATTAGGAACTCAACTTATTCCAAATCAATTGGTTAAAACAACAATTATGTCGCAATACGCATGGATCCTATAAATACAAAGGTATAGATAGCGGCAAGCTTCTTGAGCAAAACGTTTTTGTGTGTAAAATTGCGAATGCGCATTTCTTCATTGTCTTTGGTCGTTGTTCAAGAAGTTTGCCGGGGTGTATACAAACTTGTATTTGCGGTCGGCCATACAGACACACGCAACATAGGTAACCGCAAAGAGCGTATGCGCGCTTAGTTGCCTAAGAACTTGAGAAAAAAATATAGTAAGCTTGCGTATGAAATGGATAGTTGACTAATTTTGTATAGAATTACCATTGACTACATAACGCTTTATTAGCTGTAAAACTCGTGTAGAAAGATACAAAAATAATAAAAGTTTTGTTCATCTGATACATAAAATTCTCGTGTTACGGTGTTTGTAATAAAATACCTCCGCGACGGCTAGACCGTCTCTTATGAAATTTCATGTTTAAACTGTTTAAAGGTCTGAGAATAGGACGTAAGCGTACAAATAAGTGATAAGGGTGATCTACCCCAATTCTTTTTATTTATCTTTTGAAAAGTTACTATTTTATGAATCGGCATTAAAAATATTTACAATACAGCCCTAATTTTCACTCTTCTACTACCAACTCTATTATTTAATAGCGATAATTTACGGAGTTCGCTAGGTCAGCTAGTATTATTACATATAAATGTTGAATTAGTTATAGCATATTGCTGCAATTTGGTAACACAAAACATAAAAAAAAATGCTATTACGGTTTGATGATACTGGAAATTATTTATCTACTTATATAAATAATTTAGGTATTATGAAATACATCTAGTATTTCATGCTTGTAAAACTATAACGACTAGATCGTCAGCTCTGGTATCGAGACAGGATCTTTATTATTTAGTCGCTTGTTCTTTGCAAAATCACGACCCTTTTTTCGCATTATATATAACTAGCGGCCGCCCGCGACTTCGTCTGCGTTAACTTTTTAAAAAAAGAACCCACTTTTAGGGATAAAAAGTACCTAATGTCTAAGTATGTCTAAATCCAGGTCATAAACAGTAGGTGTGGTACCAAATCCGTTCAATATTAGTAGGATTGTGACTCTTCGTAAGAGCTTGCTACTTCCTTCTTGCATCTAACGTCGGTTTGGCATTAACAAATTATTGTGTATTTTTTTATATCTCATAATTGAATTTAGTTTCAATATTGAGCTGGTGCATTTAATGTGAATATATTTTTTAAATTTTACAATGCAGACATTGTCAATGCAGTCTAACCCCTCATTTACACCAAGGTATAATACATGTATTTAACAAATTTAATACAATGCCTTAATTTTTTGTTCACACTCAATACATGTATAAATACATGTTGTATAAAATACTTGCATCAAACTTGTAGGAGAAACAAAATATGTGATATGTGCTTAAATTTAATGATCTGGATTGAGGCTTAAGATACTTTTTATCCCGAAAAATTGTTAGATTCCTGTTGGATTCTCAAAAACTAAAGTAAACGCGGACAAAGTTGCGGGGAGCCGCTAGTATTATTATAAATGGCAACACGCACTGGTCGAAGTCTATTTTCGAATTTTCCGAATGCTGCCTAACCGAGCTGGATTTCTATTTATAATCTTATAAAGATTTGGCATAAAGTTAAGAATGTTGTTGGTGACTGAGAGTGCCGTATGAAGAGACGTGGCGATCCTGGGGCAATTAAAGAGTGAAGCCTCATCTCAACTTACAGCAATCAACGGTCATAATGCAAGTTATTTGAGAAAAGGCAGGACCCATCCAAATTTGGTTATTTTATTATCTCTGTTGTGGAGGCCCCTGGGCCCCGCCTTAAATCCGGCACTGGTGACTGTATTTGAATACAATTAATACTATTTTATTGGCCTAGAATCCAAGATAGTTAAATTAGCTAAGACTTGTGTGATTTGCATGTCTAATAATGTATTACATATATGGCAGAAGTATACGAAGGTTTTTACAGTCCTTTGGGCTGTATGGAGGTTCTGTTACAACTTCAATTAATTATTATTTGGATTATTTCAAGAAATTTTAAATACAGTTCGATTGTTTCTAAATCAATTTTCTTTTTCTACAAGCGTTTACATAGTAACGTTTACGTGTCTACGCAAGCTTTGAATGCTAATGATATACATTTCTACCGTCAGGGCCGAATGCAAATACATTGATGCAATTAATTACAGCTAATTGACAATATACTAAAAATAACAACATATCCAATATTCAGGTTAAAAAAACCAATAATGATTTTTCACATGATACCTATATGACAATGTATAATTGTATTTAAAATAATATAGGTATAAAAATATGTAAAAATATTAGACGTCTTAAGAATTTAAAAATGTTACCAGAAATTTGGCATGTCTCAATCATGGCGAGTGGTTAAAAAAAACTACGAGAAATATATTTCTGGTCCCACTTTTTCAAAACTAATCTTTGGATCCAATTACATACTTAAATGGCACAATTTTAATCCAAGAGGATACCGTGAGCTACCAAATCACTTTTGTGTGTTGACTGAAGTGTGTTGTGCATTCTGTGAACTAATAGTTACAGAGCAAGAGTTTAACACTACATGCATGAATAGGCTATTTGACAGTAAGAAACAAAGTATAATTTTTTTGCATCTGTATATAATATCAACTTTGGCAGCAAATTTACTATGACCGATTTATTTATTAATATAATCAATTTAAAAATCCATGGTGTAGACATGTAAATCTATCATCACTTGTTCTAAAACGGCAAGGATTTCTCAAGTCCAAGATGATTTCAAGTTGTGAACTACTTGTCAATGAAACACTAATTTTGTTCCGTTTGACGTTAAGCTGACAGGCTTGCAACATCCTTGATATACCTTTTTGAAAGGTATATGAGGCATGATTATTTTTAGTTTTTTTTATTATATATGTAATATAAAAAATATAAGGATTTCATAACCGCTAATTAATAACGTGTAATGGTTTTCAAAACCTGTCAAGTATCCTATTCATCGATTTAAAGTTTTTTTTACATAGTGTCACAATAAATTTTAAACAAAAGTGATTATATATAAATAGATAGATTATAAGGGATTATAATACTAGCACATGCATTATAGCTAAATTACTTTCTAAATTCTGTCAAAGACATTTAGCTTGGCGTTTGACGTTTAAAATAATACTAAAAATACTTACGTGAAAAATTAAGTGTAAAATTTGCTATAATGGCCTGTTAAGTAAAATAGTGCAAATCTTATGTGTGTATAGGTACAAGTGATTATATTAACAACTAGAATTGCTCTGTAAAGATTGAGCCTAACTAATATTATTCAGTAGCCACACGGAAGGTGTAGAATTACATCAAATAAGATGAAATACACAAAAATACTTATTGAAAATATATTAAGCTATTGTTTTTGCCGCGGTACATCTGACAACAGTTCTGAATTCAAAAGTAAACCACAAAACGATTTCAATAAAAAATATAATACGATGGCGTATAGGCGACTACTTAATTGTTATTCTACCCTGGGTTGTTTGTGTCTCATTGACGCAATTTGAGCTATGATCAACAGTACGCTCATATTGTATTCAGAAACTGTAATACAAAAGTAACATTTCGTAACGTAACAAATTACATTACGCCACGATCGTTTACTGCAACTAAACACACGGCCGGTGTTCTAGAATCGAGTGAAGCGTAAATAAAGCGATCAACAACATATCATCAACTATCGCTCTATGGATTAACACGTTTGCATCACATATTACTGTATACGTAAAAATATCAATTTTTATAAGTATAAAAAAACTTTTATTAAAACATCCCAAAAATTCAATAAGTTTTAGAAACACTTTCCTACACACTTAATCTCAATAATCACAGACACAAGAATGTATGATATTTTTTTTTAATTTGAATCGATTTCTTAAATGAGTTTTATTATCAATCACTGTTCTATGATATTCATTGAAGTACAAACTTGTCAGCATATCGGTAGTAATAATAAAGCCTGCATTGAAAATAATACTATTCGGTTTGTTACCATACTATTAATTTAATCCACTGTGGCCAGAGGATAGTTTGGTGGTAAAGCGCTAAGGACCTCTTTTGAGAGCTCCTTGTATACAGCATCCATAATGTTACGTACGCGCTCTATGAGCTCTGGTACATCTTCCATGGTCAACCCCTTAGTAGGAATTGGCTCCAAGCATTGGATGATAGCATGACCTGAAAAAAAAAACGTAACTTGATAAGGAATAAATAGACAGGGTTAGAAATTCGTAGTAGAGTGGCTAAGTTTAGCGTTTTCATTTTTATGAAAAAGTTATTTAGGGAAGAGTAAAAAACGAATAATGCCTAAGATCATACGCACCCTACGTATGATCTTATGCATTCTTCGTTTTTTACTCTTAGATTATTGGATTGTCATAAATGGCCATACCTATTGCAGTAAATTATAAAAAAAAATGCAATATGTTTTATCTAATTCATTGCCTGTATTTATTCGGTGCTAATTGAATCAAAATTCAATGACAAGTAGAGAAACAATCACAGGTTAATGTTCTAACTGTTCTATTATATTATTACATGACTCCTATAGAAGGGTGCTTTCAGAGTTGATGAATATTTGTAATTTATGTGACGGAACGGACGTTAAAAAGCCTGCACAGACGGACCTTTGTCTGTGACGAACAATAGTCCTTGAATTGCGAAAAGAATCTCTGTCGAAGACTTGTCACGGATTCAACACACACGGTTTGCGGACATATTATTATGTTGGCCGGTAATTTAGAGAAACGCACGCTATGGAAGAAATAATTTTGAGACTAGCTGTGCCCCGCGGTGTTACCCGCGGTTTATTAGGGATATTTTCCCGCAGTAAAACGTAGCCTATATGAAAAAAAGTTTTTAAACAAACTTTATTAAAATCGCTCTAGCCGTGTAGACGTGAAGAAGTAACACAAACATACACACTCACAAACTTTCGCATTTATAATATTAGTTTGATTACGTTGTGTTTTAATTAAAATTAAGTTTAAGAAAAAGATAAGACGTTTTAAAAGATTACACTTGGTTCATCCCTTTAAATCGCAACGTGTTCAATTATTTCAGGGGCAGCCGCCTACTTTTGTCCTATCCGGCGGCGGCGTTTCGGTGTCCTCGGTTGTTTGGTGGACTTTTTGTTACTTTAAATCCGTCGCGTCTAGGGTTGCCAATCCTACTATATAACATAGTATCCTACTACATTAGGGGATCAAATACTATATTTCTAAAAAAAAATATAGGTATAAAATAGGCGAAACTACTATATTTTGTTTAAAGTAGACTTGCCAGTAAAAGCTTTCTTAAAAAAAAAATAGAGCAGCAAAAATATACTCATTTCAAAAATAAAGTAAATATTTTAAACACATACTATTTTTCCATTTTCGTTCCATTTTTTTGCCATCAACTATATTTTTAGAAGTAACAACTTCAAAAATACTATAGTTGATAGAAAAAAAATTGGTAACCCTAGTCGTGGCGGTTACTCGATGCAGTTGTAAGCGATCTATTTTGGCACACAAAAAATACCGCGGACACAGGCCTTCGTCTACGCAGGCTATAACTCCCCCCACGACAACGGCTAACTAGAGCCGAGGCCCGAGTCTCAGAGACGCCCTCTAGTTGAGCCGACCCCCTCAGGTTCGAGTGGTCTGGAGGCTCCAGACGGAGAGGAGACTCCCCCCGTGGGGATAGCCATCCGACTGGAATACCTCCAGAGGCACTCGCCAATACTCGGCTTGAGGTCCCCTTAGGATCTCGCCGTCCCCAAACCCGGTGACGCTGTAAAGGTCATCTGCGACCAACAGCATACACACTCAAAAAAAAAAAGCCTATAACTGAAGAAAAATTGATAGATGATTAAAAAAATGGGAGTGTTAAATCTTTGGGAACGAAATGGACACCCAAATTCGAAACAGCACATTGAGTCATACATAATAGAAAAAAATAAAATTTACAGAGTTTATAAAATGTGTGAAAGTGACAGCTTTCATTGGGACCTACAACGATGCGCCACCTGGCGTGAGAGAATGGCAGTTATGAACCCCATTAGAATATTCTATGCAAGGTTTTATTTTAAAATGTATAATCACATAAATCACAGTCTGCACCTAAGCAAAATGAGCACAGATTACAATCATAATTTATTTAATAAACATTGCTTAACACATAAATAGTAAAAGGCGGATTCGAACCCAGGATCCTCGGAGCAGATCTCCTACCTGCCTTCTGCTTTAAAAGTTCTTTTGCGTACTAAAATAACACTTAATTACCTGGGTTGAAAATGTACTTCTTCCTATTTATGAAGTAGTAAGGAGAGAATACCACTGGTATGATTGGCACTTGAGCTGCAACTGCTATATTAAATGCTCCTTTTTTGAATGGTAGTAGTTTAGTGAAGTCCTTATTCCTTGTTCCCTCAGGGAAAAGCCATATTTTTGTCTGCAACATTATGAATTTCTATACTTTAACCCTTTGTAAACAGCAATTAATGTTGTTTAATTCTGTTCTACTGTTATTGTTAGCCTGCACAGTTTAACAAGTTATAGAGAAATCATGCAACCATCTTTACATAAACAATCCAGTCAGTATTAGTAGGTATCACTTACAGTACAGAACTTGATATTTATATACCTTGTTTTTCACCATGATTTCTGAAGTAATTTTTAACTGTTTGTAAGCATCTTTAGAGTTATTTCTGTCTATAAAAACAACTCCTGCTAGATATGCAGCCAGTCCAAATGGCCATACATAGAATATTTCTTTCCTTGCGATAGCTGCAATTTTATCTGCCACATGCCAGATATTGAACATTCCTGAAAACATTAAGGAATTAATAAATCGGTAGTGATTTATAATTAAACTGTTAGTTAACAGTACTTTATATTAATAATTTATTGAAATTATTATTGGGGGATAACATTAAACATTATTATACCTAGGTAATAAACAGTAAAATTGGAAAGTGTCATCACTGAATATAATTATTAGATTTAAAAAATATAGTAGGTACTATATTGTGTTTAAGCAGTTCTTGTGGTTGTATATTTATTTAAACATTTACTAACCCACTGAATATTAAGATCTTAATTTAATTTTATTTAAGTATGTGTGATATAACTTATGCATTACATTAAATACCTGTCTCATCTCAAATATTAGGGTTATTTTAACAAAGCTTTGGATAACAGAAAACAATAAAATCAAAATTTCAGACTAAGTGTATCTTCAAACTATTTATCGCTACATAAGCTTTTTACTCTTAGAAATAAAAATAATTTAAAAGACAGTTTTAGTGAAACTTGGAAGAAAATGCAGAAAGACTTTTCAAAAAGTGAAGATACAACTTTTGTTTTTAAATCTGTGAAATTTTATTTAGGTATTTATTTAAAATGGTAATGAAAACATTATAATTATTAATATGAAATATAATATGTGTATCATTATTTTTATTAAACAACATAATAAGTTTCAATTAACATATTTTTAATTAGCAACTTCATGTTGTGAGTATGACAGTTAAGTAGAAAATGACTATATTGGTTTTTTACATTTTGTTTCATGACTCAATAGATAGTATAATAGTAAGCGAGTATTGCATTATGGATTTACCAATTATTCTCATTGATGGTCAGCTTTTCTAGCAGGGATTAAACATTTTTAATCCAATTTTTTGTTTTAAGCTTTAAGCTGCTTGATTTATAAATCTAACTGCTCCACTATACTACTCACAAAGTAAACCAAGGTTGTACCATAGACTACTAAGATACTATGAACAGAAAAACAATTTTTAGTTCTGTCGTTGCCAGTCTGTATGTAGTATCTAAGTAGTCTGTGACACCACCTTGGCTGACTTTGTGAGTAGTTTAGTGGAGCTGCCCTACAGCATTAGAAACACTGGAAGAAATCCGACACAATCTTTAAGTTCTTGGTAGCACAGCTATTAGTGCATCCTTCCTGACAGCAGAAAAACAGGTTCAAGACCTGCTTAAAACCAACTGACCGTTTATCGAGTTCAATATTTTCAAATAAAAGTTTTCTTTAGATCAATTTTTTTTTGTTGCTTATGCATAAGTTTATCATAACTGTAGCAAGTAATTATTGTTCTATAGTACTATGGCGACATAACCATAAGAGATACTTTTTTAAACTTACTATGGATGGAATGATCTCAGATTACAGAACAAAAAGGTATGATAAGAGATATTAAGAAGAGATAAGCACTCTATTTTAACAATAATTCAACAAAATATATTATAAACAATAATGTTATACTACATGGTCCTGAAAGTAAATATAGCCATTTTTTTTGAAAAGCAATAATTTTTATATATTAAAAATTTCTCATTACAACTGCATAAATAATACAACTTCATTTATATTTTATCTCTGTTAATCAGCATATTAGAACATTATTTAGTACAAACAAACAATAATATCTCTGTCTAGCTGTAGTCTGTTCTGTTTAAGTGGTATAACAGTTTTTAAAAAAAAACAAGAAAATTGTAACAAAAATTGGTTTAAGCAGTATTTCCCACCTAGTATGTCAATTGAAGACTGATGATTAGATACCACAACAGCACCTCTGTCTTCAGCCAATATTCTTCCATTTCTTAAGTGCCATTTTACTTCTATTATTTTGGTGACATGTTTCAAAATTTGAGATCCGAATCTAATAAAAACAATGTTAGTAAATTATTTCAACGAGAATAGTTTTGAGTAAATGTAAAAATAAAACCATTATGAGTAATTTTATTATCGTCTTTGCATCTTAATTGAATGGAGAAAAGTGTAATAAACAGGTTATAAGATAGTTACAGATAAAGTTTTTAAATGAGGATTGCTTGGTGAGATTTTATGTTTCACCAGATATAAGCATTTTGCATATTTAATATTCGGTTTACCTACACGTCTTATAGTTATGATATCATAAGAATAAAATTGTAATAAAGATGAGTCAGGCTGGAATAAATTGACTGTAATTGAACATTATTAATTTGGCTGGCGGTATCTATAGTTAAGGCAATTCGGGAGGTATACTTACAAAGAGTTCTTCACGTTTTTTGGGTTGAACACAAAGAACGGCAACAAAATCACTGCAGTTATTGATGTCCATATATAAAAAATCAGAAATTTTGACTTGAACTTGACAAAATTAGGGGTCTCGGAAAACAGTTGTTTGAAAATGTAGGTTACTAGCATAATTACAAACATGTATATAATTTTATCCCACATTCTGAAGATGTTTTAATTTAAAAAAATATTCTTTTATGCAACACAGAGTATTCACAGTACACAACACTTGTTGATTTTCTAATAGATTCAATATTACATTAAGATTATGGAAATTAACCGTCCAAAATGTTCATATTCGGAGTTTGTAAAATAATGACGATAATATCGTACACATACACGACGACATTCGTTTAAATAATTATTCTACTTTTTGATGCGCGGAAAATGCGCGGCGGCGGTGGGCGGATGAACGAAATGAATGAATGAGATGGATGGAATGAATGAATATTGTACAACGGAGGGTGTATTCCGAAATATACATCAGTATACTGGCCAGGGGTAATGACGTCACGAATCCGATGCCATATTGTATAATGCGATTCAAATAAGAATAGTAAAGCCAATGACCTCCATTTGTCAAATGTCGCTTAAAAAGTACGGTTTGCAAAAAATCTTGGAACTCTTGTTTAGCACTCAGCTAATTCTAGAATAAAAAAAACAAACATTTGTAAACAAACATGACGACGATGACAATTCCGGTAGTTATGCAGAGCTGAGCGGAATTGAAGAGCTAGATTCCGGTTAATATTTTTACTCACACAGTCATAAATGTTATTAAAAATCGGTGTTTTTTTTTTCTCAATCTTAGTAAATAAAGGAGATTGCTCAGCTTCCATACATGTTTGGCCTAAAGACAAATAATCATGAAAAATTGTTTCCTAGATTCGAAATTGTATATAAATTACTGTAGAAACGAATATTATTGACGGACACCCCTGAGAACTTCTATAAACCATATACACTGAACATATTAAAATAATAAAAAAAATGGGTGCGTGTACTTATGTAGGCGCGTGAGAAGTTATCCTTCTTTGGCATCGTTTAAAATTAGTTTTTAATTGCATGCAAATAATTAATTACAATAAATTAATAAAAAGTCTGGAAAAGGACACAGTCAATAAAGTTCAGTTTTAATTTGAAAAAATAAATAAATAATCAAAATATTCAATTAAAATTGCTACTGAATATAATTTATTAGAACATATGTGATTTGCACTTGTATGAAACTCAAACACGTATTCCGAATATACAAACTAGAAACATGTGGATAAATATTATAAATATGAATACCTATAACTGTTACTTTATTACAAAAAATAAAGATGTGGTTTTTGGTTCTACTACACCAATGGTGAAGAGATGGCGCTGTAGTCTCCTGAATCGCGCTTTGGTTCCGTTGTTCCAGATTAATAAATACTTTTTGTTACTTTATTACAAAAAATAAAGATGTGGTTTTTGGTTCTACTACACCAATGGTCAAGAGATGGCGCTGTAGTCTCCTGAATCGCGCTTTGGTTCCGTTGTTGCAGATTAATAAATACTTTTGATAGGCCTTCACAATGCAGTCGTTAGCACCCACAAAATAGAGATTCTATTTCTATTTTGTTGGTAGATTTTCTTAATGTGCAGTAAACACAAAACTAACAGCATGAAGTTGTTCGCTAAAGCGACCAACTTCATGCTGTTAATTTTTTGTGTTACAGTGATGCGCGCGCATCTTAAAATTTCACTCATCATTTTTTCATAACGCGCCTAAAGAAGTATAACTTCAAAAACAAATAAGTTGTATAGTAAACTAGGGAAATCAAGCCAAGTACCGAAATTATGGATTAGATTCAGGTATATAGAGCATGTAGATTAACAGATAGTTGCCTGTTTTTAAAGTTAATGCATAAGAGTAACTTTTAAAATCAGGTGTTATTTCCGGTTATAATAAGGTACTCTGTGACAAAAACTGTGTGATGATTGTGAATGAGCCACAGATTAGAGAGAATTTTTAAACTCTCGTTAACCAAAGAAAGCTAAGAGATTTAGGTTCTATAGTCATATATTCAGTAGCTTCATTATTTTTGTTATGTTTTTAAGATAACCATATTTTAGATTTTTAGTGTATCACACCAGATTATAATGTGTTTATGGAGGTATTTGGCGAAAAATGTATGGCAATAGACTTTATGATGTCGCCTACCATCTATAATAATTGTCTGAGCACATTTGCATCTAGTGAAAATGATAATATAGTCGTGGATATTAATAAAATAAATCATTTTTTTTATTACACTGTGGTACAGTGTAATAAAAAAATGATTTATGTTAGCGATCTTTACAAAATAGATTTGTTTTTATGTTATATAAACAACTTCGATCAATCTTTGGCTGAATATTACTACACCCATAGCCATTAAAAATGATTCGTATGTTTTCTAAACCGGTAAAATTAAAAGTCCTTTTTAAAGTAAATATATTATACAAAGGTGTCCGTTGCAATCTAATGACTGTAAATTAAATTATAAATTACGCCAAGAATTACCGTGTATGTGAAATTTTTTTGTGCAATTGGGCCAATTTGAGCAATCTCCTTTTATTAATAAATCTGATGTTTTTTCTCACTTAATCTTAGTAAATAAGTTTTATTAAAAAAAACCTGATGTTTTTTGTCACTTAATCTTAGTAAATAAGTTTAATCGAAGAAAAACTTTGAAGGGGCCCATATACGGAACGATTGATCTGTACGATCCGTCGTTTCAGACCGATCGAAACGATGGATCGACAGTGTATGTCAAGATCGTTAACGATTTACTTAATCGCAGACGATATCGGAGATCGCAACAAAAACCCATGTAATCATATATATCTTAAACGATCGATCGTCAGTGTCCCATATACGGTACGATTGATCTGTACGATCCGTCCTTTCAGACCGATCGAAACGATGGATCGACAGTGTATGTCAAGATCGTTAACGATTTACTTAATCGAAGACGATATCGCAAATCGCAACCAAATCTCATGCAATCATGAATATCGTTCATGCAATCATGAGTTCGTTTTCCATTTTAGAGGGCAAGTATTGAATAATTTGAGTACGTCTTTATCCTACCGTTTGAAACAAGTAAATGATAGATCGTTACGATCAATCGTTTCGTGTATGTAGTGGCATTTCTGAACGATCGATCGTTGACGATTTCCTTCAGATCGATCGCAACGACGAATCGTTCCGTATATGGGGCCCTTTATTGCTCACTCTACCTATTTTGTTTCAATTGACAGCTTTGACATCACAAAATGGCGCCCAGTCGATCCTATTCTTAGTTGAATCGCATTATACTAGTATGCTATCATATTTTTACCGGGAAAACGAATATGACGTATGACCGAGCGTGCGTGAGAAGCATTCAAATTTTATTTCTTTTTTATTTAAAGAACAATAACGGCATCCGAACTAAAAGAATTCCTTTTAATTGATGAGGTGAATAAAAAATCTTCTTTATTCGCACTATTTTTAATATTTCGTCGAATTATGACGTCAGTGAAGTGACCAATATATTTCGGAACAATTCACCAGTATAGCGTCGATTCATGACGTCATTAGCACTGGCTAGTATACTGGTATATATTACGGAGTACACCCGGAATGTACGATTGATTGAATTGAATGATAGTAGCCAGTACAGTGCGACCATAAATCATGAGTGCGACCATCCATGGACGGTACGTCCATGAGTGTGACCAGTACCCCTAACACGAACCAATATCGAATTCGTATCGTTTACGAGTCCGAAATGTCATTGTCAAATGTGTACTGATTTTTAGTTCTCGTTACGTCCTTTGTGCCGCTGCTGTTCAAGTTTCCATACAAAATTTGACATTGATATTTCGGTTTGCAAACTATTCGAATACGATAATTGTTTGTGCTAAGGGTACAGTACCCTTAGCACGAATCACGAACTTAGATAAAAACAAAAAGGGAAGATACGATACGCTCATACTAGCATCTAATAAAATATGCTCCGATCCAACTACTTATGTACAGTGACATAACCATAGCTGGGCGTTAACTCGTTACAACGTTAATCGTTAATTAACGAAGCTAACATTTCTATTAACGGATTAACTTTTAGGTTAACTTTAGAAAATATTAACGGACTCGTTAACTTCCGTCAACCAGTACCTTCTATTTACCAAAAAGATACCGAAGGGTTATAGGGATAAAAACGGGTTCTGACAAATACGTTCGGGCGGGCCGACAAACAACGTAGGCATGTATTGGCGGCGCGTGTGATCTTTTCAATTCATTACTACCCACAGTATGTTATGAGACCGTAAAATCGGACATTCTTATTTATTTGATGAACTCTTTAGAGCTCATTTATACAAATATGAGAGTAAAACTCCCGTTTGAAAATTCCACGTAGTTTTTGAGATATAAAAATTGAAATACATTATTTTTTTTCTTTTTTAAAAATGAAAAAGCAATCTTACTCTGTAACTAATAATATTTTGTTTAGAAACGTTACAGTACTTCATAGAACTCTTTAAACTACACGTAATAAGCGTTTTAAGTGCTTCGTAAACGCTTGCAGTTAATTAGAAAAAAAGATTTTTGTTATTTTTGTTTTTATTTTTTTCTTCATTATACCATAATATATGCAAACTTTTTCAATCGCAACATATAGTCTGATATGTATTCTAGTTGTATAAAAAAAATCAGCTTAAAATTCCGTGGTATATTTGAGAAAAAAAATTAAACCTATTCACAAAATTTTTACGCGTCTAGGGTAGACAAATTTAGAAGGGATAAATTCATGTCTAAAAAGTTACAAATAAAAATACTAATCGAATCCCACCTGTTATATTCATAGTATTTAAAGGTCTAAAAATTTATATTCGGCGCCTGCAATTGTTTTTAAAATTTTATTTTATATTAATGTAAATTTATTTTCAGTTGATAAAAATGTTATTTTCACATGATAGGACTGTTGTATCATCACTTGGGTCTGCGACCTGATCTTCGATACATTGTTCTATAATATCGAACTAATATCGATCAATAGATTAAGCTTTTTGAGATCCAATAAAATTAGCTCAAAAAGAGGGTCAAATCTCGGGAAGGAAGATAAAAAGCTGATATTTTTTATAAATCTATGTTTTGACGTTTTAAAGGTTACCTCATAAATCTCATAATCATATAGGATCTAGTTTCTGCGTCTTAAGTTATTTAAGTTCGAATGGGAAAAGATAGGAATAGGGAGCGAGATATTTATAAGAACGGGTTTTTCATATATATCTCGCTTCCTATTCTAAGGTTAAAAGCTAATTTTACTGGGCTAAAGTATTTTCCACCGACATTCGACCTTTGTCATCTCTGGCATTGTCTATAATCGAACACAAGATTCAGTCTTAATATGCGTGATTTTAATAAAATATTTAAACCTCCAAAAGAAATATTGCTTTTAAAAAGTTATGAGAAATTTACAATTCTGTGTGACAGCCCTGGTACATATTTTCAGTTTGTTTTTTCTCAAATATACCACGAAATTTAATGCTGATTTTTTTTATACAACTAGAATAAATATCAGACTCTATCTTGCGACTAAAAAAGTTTGCATATATTATGGTATAATGGAGAAAAAAAATAAAAACAAATATAACAAAAACATTTTTTTTTATTTAACTGCAAGCATTTACAAAACACTTTAAACCCTTATTACGTGTAGTTTTAAGAGTTCTATGAAGTATTGTAACGGCTCTAAATTAAATGTTATAAGTTTACGAGTAAGAATGTTATTCATTTTTTAAAAAGAAAAAAATAACTAACTTTTGAATTTTTGTATCTCGAAAACTAAGTGGAATTTTCAAACGAGAGTTTTTCTATCATATTTGCATAAATGAACTCTAAACGATTCATCAAATAAATGAGAATGTCCGATTTTACGGTCTCATAACACACTGTGCTACCGAGACGCTTACGAGTGACTAGTGTTTTGGTTGTTTTTAGTGAAGTATACGAATACTACGTACTTTTTGGATTTTGCGTACCGTCCTTAATTGTTTGCTTTTGTGCAGTGTGTGTATTTATTAGGAAAGAGTGAAAGTACTTACTGTGTTAATTAAAACCATAAGTATCATGGATTCGTCTAGTTCCTCTACGGACGAAAATCCGTGGCCACATTTAGGTGGCTATATTAGGTTAGTAAATAGATTGGGAGAGCAGATGACCTGAGTGCGAAAACAATTACACACTTTTATTTTTATATATTTACACACTGTCTTTTTTTGAACCTAACCTATTAACTTCCAGAACCCAAAACAAGTATTTGTTAGCAGATCACTAACGCAACGATATAAAAAAATGCAATTTTTAGTACGTGTTAACGTATTAACGATTGACGTTAACTTGCGTTAAATCTTCCGAAATGTAACGTTATAACGTTTAACGAAGTTATTTTTTTTAGTAACGGATTAACGATTAACGAAGTTAACTATTTGATTAACGGTGCCCAGCTATGGACATAACCACAGAAAAACTAAGTAATTGGTTTTGTAGAAACCTTAGATAATTATTATTATAACTCACACAGACATCAGTGAGAGAGAACTGTACGCAGCGCGACACCCTCGCGCTGCGTACAGTTCTCTCTTGCAAACGTCCAGGAAAGTTGCTTAGTAATCATCTGTTTTATTGAAGAATTCTAGTGTCCTTGCTTACTGAGCAATTTACACACGTCCTCGAGCCTCGACTTCTTCCGTGCCGCCCATGAAATAGAGTAAAACTAAATAACTTCGGCTCTGATTTTTTTACAAATGTTAGGGAGTAGGAGTATGTTTCGACTGTATCTGGAAAGCGTCGAAAACTATTGATTATTTTTTGGTAAATTTTAAACGAGAATAAATATTTTTTCAGCTTTATCCTTTCCTCGAATAACTTTATAGATAATATTAACATTTTATAGTAGCCTATAGAAAATTGATTCTATGATTCAAATTATTTTTTTACAATTAATCGATAACAATCAAACATCATGTGGCAGCTTCAATTTGAATGCAAGAGTGACATTTTTCGGATACTTTCGTAACTTCGATTCAATGCGCTTTTTTGCGTCACATTACGACTCATAACTCCAAATTATTTATTTAATAAAAAAATGTTTTATACAAAAGTTGTGGGAAATTTATAAAACAACAATAATTGAAAAACGGTAAGTTAGTTACAATGAAAAAAAAATAGCAAAACATTTTTTTCCATAAAGTTATTAATTTCGGAGATATAGTGATAAACGCGTTTTCCAATATGGAGACTAGTTGTGATCACCCTAAATTCCCCGATTTTTAAACTTAGCTTCTTATGACCTACCCTAACATCTGTAATAAAAAACTAGTGTGGTAAAATTTTGCATTACGATCAAGTATAATCGAGATCTTTGTTTCTTGGGCTACTGAATAATGGGCGATTATGTGGACGCACGCACGATGATTGGCACACATTACTTTCATGTACAATTTACCGATTACTCACGACTACAGGCGATGATGGCCATTGTGAAGATGGGTCATCACAATGGACCATGATGGGCGTTCGCACGAAACAATCAGAGGTTCGAGGACGTGTGCAAATTAAAGCTAAGGGTTGCTTAAGTGGTATGGAAGTTCCTTTGCGTAACAATGACATAGGGGTGGGCACCGGGCCCAATGCGCACTGGGTTCGTTCCACAGAGTGGCCCATTCCACACTGGGCCCAAAGCGAATTGGTCGGTAGGATACTTTTGTGGAAAAGGCAGAAGAGAGATTGAGCCAGGACTCGCCACGCGGGCCCAGTGCGGATTGTTGGATGGTATATAAATATTTTACACTTCGTTCCAACCGAGTGTTCCATGACACTCACACATTTTTTTTACACAGTTACCACAGCAAAGGAAACGAAACTCTAAGTATTGAGGGTGGTAGTAAATCTCCGGCGGATTCCAAATTTCTATGACATGTAGTGTACTTAATTGTAAAACGTTTGACAAAATATAAGAATTTATTTTATCCCCGTTTTTTGAAATAATAATGATAATTTATAATTTATTATTATTTTTTTTAAAGGAAACCGAGGCTTAAATATACACATTGGCAGGGTTCAAATATCCTCTTTGGCAAATTCTGGGCAATCTCAAAAGTTCACTTCCAGCTGCCATCTGGACGTCCTAGATAGAGACTTAGTAATATCAATATATTGAAAGTCAACAACCTTTCCAATTTTATTGTTTTCGTCTTACGAATTTTCGATCAGGCCACGTGTTCTGACGCGAGTTTAATATATTTTACCAGCTTGACATCCTCGGCAACAGCGGCGATATTCTCGTTAGAACGGGCGCTCCGGGGCCGGTCACTCTTGGCAATATCTCGTGTGGTGCTATACTCTTCAAGGTTGGTGGCCAAACGGCGCACGCGCAGTGTTTGCGCAGTCGGTGTCGGACGGTCGGGGAATCGGCTACGTAATTCGCGCTGCGCCAACACCACAGATGAATTGTTACGCAAAAAATAGACACGATTATTCCGCGTTCTTTGGGAGTGTATCGCTCCATGGCTTGTTCACTTGTAGGTTCATACACCTAAATTCTGCATCAAGGGCGGATCCAGCTTTGGCGCCAGGGGGGGTCATATAGTCGTGGTCAAGTCACAGTGGGTACAGATTCTTAAGTACAGATTGTGAAGTGGGTACAGATGGACCCAGCCCAGGGGGGGTCATGACCCCCATGACCCCCCCTCTGGATCCGCCCTTGTTCTGTATCTATCTAGTCTACAAATGTCAAAACAGATTTGACATTGGTGGCCATTTGCAAAAATGAGAGCATATTACAATAGGGTGATTTCTTTTAGCCCACCTGTTAGTACATAATTGAGTTGGCGTTATACTGCACCAGACACTAATATGACGTTACTTATGACAGTGTTTCTTATATGACACGTGGCCTGATCGAAAATTCGTAAGGCGAAAACAAAAAAATATTGAAAAGGTTTTTGACTTTCAATATATTGGACGAAATATAGTAATATTTTATTTTATCGTATTACAATAATAAGTCTCTGACTAGGACGGCCAGGTGGCAGCTTATTGCGAATTAAATGCATTTTTGAAGTGAAAACTTCGTTAGCGGCGTTGTACACTTTTTTTGTAATGGGTAAAAAAGTCGCGTCAGAACACGTGGTGTAGTGTTTGTTTTAAACAGAGCGCTGACCCCGAATAGATATTTAGGTAGGGACTTATCGCCGCGGGTGTGGCGGCCGACGAATACCCATCCCGCCTTCTGCCCGGCGTGACGTAGAAATCGTCAATGGGTCTTGGTATCACACTGCATCCTAGATACCCATGTGTGTGTTCGTCCCCGATAGTGTAATCTCTTTGTTTGCCACCTAATTAATGCTTAAACACTTAATTGTCTCTTAACTTTTCCAGGAGAAGGTTTTGTTAATGTGCTTGTTAGTTTTTTACCTACCAAGGCATTTTATTGAAGTTGCTAATACAAATGAAAACGTATTAACAACAACTTTTATCATAATATCCTATGATGAGCATAGAATATTTATGATATTTTTTTTTATTTCTCTCGGGAGACAGTAAATGAGACACGATGGACGAACGCACAACATGCAATTTTGTGAGCAAATCGCCTTTGACCAATAACATCTCTTTGGTTAATTTTCTACCATTATGTTTTTCTCGGTATAACTGGTAACATTATATTTTTTTTTTATTATATTTTCGGAGCAAAGGTGCTTGCGGTACGGCCTTGAGTAGTATACACTTTGTGTTACTATTGTCATTTATTATTATCTATTTTTGTTACAACTTAGAGATTTATCAATGATTTATCGTTCTGTATGTTTATTTTTTTTTAACTTAGCGGTTTATAATATTCTATTATTTTATACAACATAACTTAATCATATCTTAACTAAAGTACATAAGACATGGGGATATACGAACGAGGGCGTTCGACGAATTCCCTACGTGAATTCTGCCGTGAGTGGGGGGATACTGTAGTGTTTGTTTTTAAACAGAGCGTGACACTGACACACGTAGGACAGCTGTTTTGTCTATGATAGCGAACCGCTTACGTCAGCGTAGCTGTCAAACTTCATTGATTGGGTTGGTAGCCTTGAGGGAAGAGTCGATTTTCCTATTCGACTAAAATATTCGCCTTGAGACTTATAAAAGTAATCAGGCGGGAAATCTCTGTGGGGGCGCGTGGATGAATGGATGGAGTTTGACAGTTGTTGAATTTTGAATAGTTTTTCCCAGATCGATTTGAGTCCTCCTTATCAGGTGCTGTTTTTAATCGATTTTGAATTTTACTCGAAATTGAATTTCCTCGCTGATTTGGGTAGGTATTCCCTTTTCCTCAGCTTACGGCGAGCGTAGGTATATAGTTTTGAGTTTATTCTTCGGTTCGTCTGGAATGCGGCGGCTGTCTGTTTGACTGTGGCCTTTGCCTTCAGTTGGAGTGGGAAACAAACCATAGACACATGTTTGGGAGTGGACGACCCGTCTATCATCTATGAGCAATTGTCAAAATAACATTTAAAAGGAGACGGTATAAAAGTGGTAGTCAAAAACCGGCAGCCATGAGAAGTATATCATTGAAAAGCTGATTTTTTTTCTAGAATGTCCTATGAATTTCAATTTTTATTTTACCTCCGTTTATTTTTAAATTACAAGCGAAGTTTTTCATTTTGTCTTTATGCTGGCCGCCCCAGTTCTTCTGTGCTGTTTTATTTGAAGCGATGGCAAAGAAATCACGCCCATACAGCCATGTCTTCAGTAATTATATTCTAAATAAAAATAGAAAATATGAAGAATACATGCGTTCTGCTTGCATTCAAAGTGATTCATAGAAAGCTTAATTTCAATGATTCGTCGTTAGCTGATAGTCAATTGGAATGCTTGTGTATAAAAATAATTAGTAATTACACAAAGTCTACTCCGACGGCATTTTGAAATAGCAAAATGAAGATCCAAGGTTTCCCGCCAAACATTAGCCTTATGATACACAAATGGTTAATATCTCGTATCTACGCATTTTTGCCAATTAAGTGAAAATCTAATTGATTATTGTAATTATAAATATAGGTACCTAAATATATTCGATAGAGTTAAAAATGGAGGACAGGCACAAAATTATTGAAATATATTTATTACATTAAACACACAGCACTCCTTAAATGTGGTGAAAACCACTATCTATTTTTATGTCTTTGTTATTAACTATGGATGAAGATTTTAAATAAAACAATATCATTAAAAAAATATTTTTTGATGCCTAGGTAATAACATTATTGCCTGACAATTTGTTTATATAAATTACAAGCTTTCAATTTATCTTAAATATAAGACATTGAACTACAAGAAAATCACCATTAGGAACCTTGAATACATAGAATTATTATGATTGCAAATTCCAGTAATGATTTTGAGAAAGGAATACTTCAGGAAGAATAAAACATTTTAAAAATAATCACATTTTATTCATCTTCGTCTTCTGTAATTAATATCCCATCTAAAAAAGAAGCAGTGGTTTGGTGAATCGAATATGCGTCTATAATTTGGTAATTCCATAAGATTTTGGTTTGGTGATGGGTTTGCTATTCCAGCTCCAGCCCAAGAACTTGATTCAGAACTAGGCAGTACTGAACTTGCTGGAACTGAAGAATCTAACTCCACTGGATCCAGTACAAGAAATGCATTCCTGTCAGATGGGGACTCGACGAATGCAATTGGAGGTATTTCAATTATGTCGTCTTGTGATGGATGGTTTTCATAGGCTCTCATCCAGCAAGCATGGCATACCCAAGCTTTTGCAGGAACCTGAAAATTAAGGAAATGTTTTATTTTTTGTTCTATGTTAATCAGACATTATAAAAATAATATATAAACTATTGGTCTAATATTTCAAGAAAAAGTACACCAATGACTTCCTTCAGAAGTTTTAAGTCTTGCCTGTCCATCAAAAGGTTGTCTTAAAGATCTCTTCTTATAGAAATGAAACCTATAAACATTCTAATATACCTAATTTTAATGTTACAAATCAAATCTGAATAATATAAAATGCAAAAAAACAAATAGCTAAAATATAATATCATACATACCGTCCAAGGAAATATTTGGTTCTCTATATAAGTTAGGTGCTACACTCCTCGATGGCAGTCTGGGATGACGCCGCTCACTTTGTGTAGATAGTGATACTCCACAGCACACATAAACACAGGAGTGTCCAATCTCCCTCTCCGGGTGATGACTAGGGTCCTTATCATGATTAGCTGCCTCTCTTATCACAAGCATTAGACATGCCTGACATAATTGATCATTAATAGACACCTGTTATAAGAATTTTATAGCATTGTTAATGGTCCTCTATATCACAAACAGGAGTACAAACACTATGCTATTTAAATAATCTGCACTTACCTCAAGGCCACACCATTCTTCAACAATAGATACAAGTTCGGAACTTAGATTAGTAACATTGTATTCATGTAATTGTATATTCTGCCTCAACAGTATGTGGCAATTCAAACATGCCATGATATCTGAAATCAAATGATAAATGAACAACAATTTGTGAATAGAAAGTGTAAGAGAAAAGTGACTCTTTGTCTTTTTATTACTTATTGGCTTCGCGACGATTACGCATTTAGCCAATAATGAGTTGCACTGTTGAGAATTTAACTAACAAAAAGTAGTCATTTTAAAATGAGATAAAGAGCAATTTCAAATGTCACCGTTCACAATGTTGAACTATTTATTAATTTAATGTACGGTAGTTTGAATTCTAAATTGAATCTCAGAACACGTATTATTTATCAAGAACTCCGGTGAAACTCAAAGAAATGTGATAAGTAATTAACTTATCTCTCAGTTTTACTTTCTTTCTTTCTTAGCAGTGAATAGAGTTTTCGAAAAGATTTACTTACATTGACAAAATGTCGTGATATCCGACCGGGGCAATTAAAAATCCAAATAATAAGCAAACGGGAATCCAGAAGACACAGAAGGGGTCAACAGAATAAGCGGGAATATCGTAGTCAGTATAAAAGTAGCCAGTTTACAGTAGAAAAGATCAAATAAATATAAAAATAAACAATACCGCGAATGAACGAACCACCAACAGAAACGAACAAAGCCGAAGGAACTCACTTTTTAAGTGTCAAACGCACAGAAAATCAGTGTTGTGTTATAACTAATACAATCAGTAATCGATAATAGAAGATATTACTATTCGATTATATATCAAGATTATTTCAAAATAAGACTAATCATTATTTTTGTAGTATAGGGTAATAAAGGGTCTGTTCCACTTTTATTTAAAAATCATAATGGTTTTTAAGTGAAGAGATTCATAGCTAAACGTGGCTTATAAAGCTACGATTATTTATGATAAACAATAGACAGAATCACGACAATGCAGATATGCATAAATGTAAACACAAAGTCTACTGGACATTGACTTCATAAATTCTTACATAATTATTTAATTTGCACGATTGTTAATTGAATAATTTTAAATTAATAACATATTGCAATATAATGCAAGGAAATCATCAACTTCCTACCCTCATCATCACAGCCTTTTTAATCCGACTCCTTGTTAAGAAAGTACGTTTGGGCTACTGCCCAATCTCCAAATGCAGATTGGTGGACGGAGAATAAGGTGGTAAAAACTCCTTAGCTGATCCATTAGTCGCCTTCTACGACACCCATTAGAGGAAACGGGGTGATACTATTCTACTCTGTGGGCATCACACGGCCGGCACTTGCCACCCTGCTCCCAATTTATTTTGGCTTTGCTGCAATATGAGTATAGATGGATGTGTGTCATCTTCTTAC